TAAAAGTACACCATAAAAAATAAATAAATAAATATAGTAGAATACAAATAAATTTTTATAAGTTATTTTCTTTTTTTTCAATCCATGAATTAATAGCATCAATTGTATTATTACATTTTGGTACATCTATACCAATATACATTTTTGATACCATTGATTGATTGAGGCCAATTTTGACTTCAGATTCCATACAAATTTCTTGAGCAATTTGTTTTTGACTTATTGCTACAATTCTTCTATGACAATCCATTACAGATTTGAATCTTTCAAGAAGAACCTTTTCTGCTTTTGTGAGTTGTTTCTTTTTTCTTTTTCTCACTGTTCACTTGGATCACCATTTGTAGATACTTCATTTCTTCTTCTATCATTAAAAATAGCAGTAAAATAAATAAGTAAATAAAACAATTTTGATGATAGTGTATCGTTGATTTGAAAATGAAATTACAAATATATATGTTGTGCGTGAAAATAAAATTTAATTATTTATGATTATTTGATATACTTGAATAAAAAAAAATATATGTATTTCGGGTGATTGCGTTGATAGAAATATCAACTGAATTAATTATTAATAAAGTTGATGTAAATTAGTTAATAAATGTATGAATATTAAACATGGCAATTAAAATATAAAATAACAAAAAGATTTAACTTACACAGTGATTTGTTTAATATCAAGATTAACAACAGCACCAAAATCAGATCGTTATCCTGCTTTTCTGATTATTAAAATAGTTAAGCTTTGCCCGTAAAATTTTGATTGGGGAATAATTTATTAATTTATAATATAATTAAAAAAACTGGTTTTTCTTCGATGCCAGTTTTTTGAACTTAACAATCAATTAATGCATCTCAAAAGCTTTCCTTTTTTTTTTCCTTCAATCTTATTGATAGTGACGGCTTTTCCTGATAAAAAATATTATATAATATTGAATAAAAAATTTGGGTCGCGTAAATTAGCAAATTTGGCTTGGTAGTAAAAAATTTTTTTTTAAACTTTCATTGTTAGAAGGCTTAGGAGATAGATAATCATGATCTAAACCTCAAGTTTTGGGGTGGTTTGGATGGAAAGTTCTAATTAGCTAGTTTGAATTTCACGCGCGTGAATTTCAAATTGACAATTACGCACAGCATTTCTGTTTATATTTAAATTTATACTAGTTACGTGACTTCTATCTAAAGTTAAAGATAATCTTTAAAACTACAAGATCTCATTTATTAGAAATATTAGAAATAAATCATGTTTATTGTAAACAATATTAATATTAAATGCATAACAAGTCAAAATACGTCTTTATGTGAAATTGAAATCTTTACATATGGGAATATTTAGATCCGCAATTCCTTTTTATTGGCTAATTTGATTTTCACTTAGATTTTATATTAATGTATGTATATATTACATATATATCTTGGAACCGCTAATCTATGACCAATATCTGAAAAAATTAACTTTATGTTATCTTCTAAAAGCAATTGTTTTGTAGAGTAATATAGAAATAATTAAATTTGTAATGTATTATTTAATATTAATATTAATATTAAGTGAAAGGGGTAAAAATTTTAATTTCGGGGGATTTGTTGTATGTGAAATTGAAATATTATGGAGTGGGGTGAAATTCTGATTGGCTGATTTGAATTTCACATAATTTCATTTTCACGTAAAACCTCCTTCAATAAATTAACAAATCAAAAAAAAAGATCAAATATTATTTTTTTGTCCAGGGGTTTGCAAAATTTTGAGTAGAAATAAAATTGGTTCATGTTTTATTTTAAATTATCCTTATCGAGTATAAATAATTATAATAAAATTTCATTGATATGACAAAATCTTCATACTTTCTTTCTAATAAAAAATGGACCATTGACCAATTAGACAAATGAATAATGCTTTGAAACTCCTACAAGATGTGGAGCCATTGAATATTTTAATTGAAAGAGAGAAATTTGTCTCGGTTCAAGTGCTGAGATTAAAGAATGAAACCAATGATGATAAGAGACAACGAATTCATTGCACCAAATTTTGACTTATATTTTCTCTTGGAATTAAAGAAGGTCATGCAAGATTTAAGAATAAATTATACTCTAATTGAAAAGTATGAATAATTTTAAATAAAACGTTTAATTATGATTATTTCAAGAATAATTATCATTTATCGATATAAAAATAATACAAGACACTATTAGTGAATTCATTAAAAATATTTTAAAGAAAATACCCTTATTTTTTCAAATAACGGTTATGCCGTAAAATAAAGACTTACATAATGAAGGCTGTGTTGTTAGTATTCTCGACTTTTCAAAAAAAAGTTTCTTCAATTAGAAAGATAAAAAATAGTCTTTTATAATTTTTAAAGTTATCATTGAAGAGAATACTTCAATTATGTGAAGCCTCACCCATGGATTCCCATCGGCTGTCTTTAATGAACCGGATTCCATTTACTATTATTATCATTGTAGACAAATATGTTTTGAATTGTGATAAAATTAATTAAGACTAAATAGAAAAACAATAAATGAAAACTCGAACGTTTAATATTATTATATTTTTTCATTTTGATTTTTTTTTTTCCGTGAGTAAATATTAATAACAATAAATTTTTTAAACAACGGACATATTGTTTTTTCTGAGTCTCGTAAATTCAATGAAATGTTACACTAATTTTTTATGTTGTGCAACGTAGCTTTACAATACACGGCAAACATTATATAGGAGCAATGAGGTATACCTTATGTAACAACAAACTACGTCGGCACTGAGTTAAGCTATATTTTTTATTTTTGTACAATTGTTGTACAAAAATTTATGATTTTCTAAAAGAAGGAAACTATCAAAGAAAAATAATTCCGAAATTTAATTTTATCCATCATTTACAAATAATTTGAAAAAATTTTTTATCATTTACAGACAATTAAAAAAAATTTGTATATAATAGTAAAGGATTCAAGCAAGGCACAATGATGCTTCGAAAAAAAAATGGGAAATGTCAAAATAAGCAAAATCATGGCTTCATTACCAGATGCGATAAAAGAAAATATTTTCATACACACACCTAAACCTCGTTCACTAATTTTACTCGATAAAAAATGGTACGGAATGTCGTGCAAATCAAGAATTCGAGCAAAGTGGGTTATTCAAAATTATGGAAAAGCAAACGCCTTATTCCACGCGATCCGACTTGGTGAGAATTTTATCTCGATGGAGCTCGTCATTTTTCTCATCACGGAAGAAAAAGTGATTTTATCTAGATATCTTGCGCAACGGTTGCTTTTACAATTCGGGAAAACAGATGATACCTTGATTGAACTAAAATTTAGAAATGACGTCAATATTACTATCAATAATAACAATATTATTAATAACAATAACATCAATAATAACAACACCCATAGCGCTGATAACAATAATAATGTTGTTATTAATTCCGCTATTGGAAATAGTATAAATAATAACACCAGTAATGCAAACCAAAACGCGTCCAAAGTTACACGAAAATATTTTAGGAATTCATGGGCTTCGAGTATTCCATTAGCTGTGTTCATCTATTTGTTAAAGGAGGCCAGAGAACTATATGGTATAGATCTTCCCTTAAAAGGAAATGATATTGAATCGTTTCATTTTTTAACTGGTGGACCATTACCTATATACTTGGCACCAGAAAAATTAAAAGGAAACCTTGAAAGAATTAAGGATCTTATACTTAATAAAAAATTTGTACCTTTCCCTCCAAGACCAACAATTTTGTTTGAAGACACAATTGAATACCAAAAGGAAATGCAAATTATAAATTGTGAAAAGTATCCAGCCAAAGATGGTTTTGAAAATAATAAGCAATTAAACATAATTGCTAGAGCAATATTAATTTATCCAGAAATAGTGGAACTATGGAAACAAATTGGTTACTCTGATATATGTATAGATGTTAATAATTTGGTGTTACAAGGCTCTTTATTAATTCTATATTATCCAAATTCAAAAAATGAAGAAGATTGTATCTCTCCAACTATGGATGATTTTGTTGAACGCATACAACAATTTATCAAGGTTGGATTCAAATTGACAAAATCTGTTATGGCAGATATTTTATTTTTGTATGAACAACATCTTGCCAAAATTGGAGTGACACTTATAGGAGCTTTTCAAAAGGTAAAGAACCAATCAAAAATCGAAATTGTTGGATGCTGCATTGTGGAAGCTATTAAAATCAACAGAAATTTGAAAAAACATCATGTTTTGGATTTTCTTAAGATGCAACTCGAAGAAAATGATTTAGAACCTGTTTATCTTAGAGCTCTAGTTTACCATTATTTTGATGATACTACTAGGAACAAATTAATTGAATTTCAAAAATTTAAATCAAACGGATCTTCTACCCACATTAATAATAATGGCAGCAATCATTTGACCATCAACAAAAAAAATATTGAAGAACCCATTAATTATTATCATAAATATGAATATTACTATAATTATGGCTACAAATATCATCCATGTGACATTGAGAATTTTAGAAATGTTTATTATTGGACAAAGTATTATATTGAAGTGTTGATATGTGACAATGACTTTAAATTTATAAATTCAAACATTGAAAGTCCAATAAACAATATAAGAACATTGAAGTTAAGTAGCAATTTGTACAAATGGATACTAAAAAACTTCAAACCTGATTCAATTGTTACAAGATTATGTTTCAATGATGTAATTACATCCAAGACTTGGATTGATAGGGAATTGTTGCTTCATCCTGAAAGACAAACACCAGGAGAAATTACCAATTGTGCATTTGAACTGATCATATCCATTTACAATGAATTTTGTAAGAATAATGTTCCATTTGAATTGGTACATTTGAACTTATTAAAGAAATCAAATAACTTTGCAACTTTGGAACCATTCTTTGAAGGTTTCTTACCACAAATTTTCAATATTAACCCAACATTCAATTATCACAATGACAATAACAAAAAAAGAGGATTAAAAAATCAACTAAAGTTACAAAAGCAACCTCTCTTTCAATATCTTGATAATCGTGAAAAGAAAATTGAAATTGAAGAAAGAACAAAACTCTGGTTTATTGAATTGAAAAAGATTCATTCTGAAATCAACACACAATTTAATGTCACCACTACACATAATAATGATGATCAGTTTACTCCAAATTTTAAAACTTGTATGAAAAAGTTTTGGGATAGAATTGTGTTGGAAACTGATTACATTAACAAATTTGAATCTAAAAAAAGAAAATGTGCATCAAATCATGGGAAAGGTGGATCAAAATCTCAAAGGAATAGCTAAAGTGAGGAAATTGAATTGTTAACTCTAATAGAATATTTATTATTATTATTATTATTATTATTTTGTTATTATTTTATAGATAAAACATAAACATTCACTTTATATTATTTTTATTATATTAATAAATATTTGTTATTATTCATATATATATATATCATGGTTTCTGTCAAATCAAATGTATTTGTAAAAAAATTTTAAATCTTTATATATATATATATATATACATAATATGTAGTAGACCTTTATAGAATTCACAAATATGTGTTGGTATAAATTAATAGAATGGTTTTATAGAATTTGTAACAATCAACATACCTTGTGTGTGTATGTATATATTTATTTTTTTTGTATATATGAATAAAATAAATATTTTATCACCAAGTTCTGATGATGTATTTAATTAAAACATGTAACTCAATAAGTTGGACACAGTAATGAATTGTTTAGAGTACTTGATAATATAAATAAATGACCAACTTATCAAGTTTACATGTGTGTTACAGTGAATCTACAGTAAATCTTGGTTTAGCAGATAATTTGGGTAATCAAAATTTTTCTTCAAAAATCTATTGTATCAAGAAACTGTTATATTGAGAAGAATTTATTATTGAACTGTTCTTGGATCTTAATCCATTAAGTTGAGGTATTTCTAAATCAAGGTTCATAATAAATAAAAGTTTTAGGAACTCTAGCCAACTGATTTTAATAGAATATCAATGCTATATGGTTTTTACTCTCAACAAATTCACTGACCACTAAAGTTCATCACCATAATCCCCGGGGGCTGAAGGTAATGTTATCTTCCAAAATATAGAGTTTCAAAACTGTGCAAAAGGTTTCACCATCAGTGTTCAAAATTCAATCAGCAGAATCATTTTGCATTAACCAAACCCGGAAATTAACTGCAGATAATTTAAAAGTTAGACTAGTTTTATGTTAAGGCACATTTGAATTTCAACCATAGTCAAGATTTTTGATTTAGTTTGACATATAACTTTTAATGCCAGTTTTGACTTTCACCTTTTCAAAATAATTTTGGCAACCAACACCAGCTGAAGGGCAAATAGTATATCATATTATCATCCCAAAAGTCCTCCCACATGCTTTGCTTTCCTTTAAGTCAAAGGACAACTACATAGATTTTCCCCTAATCTTATCTCAAGGCATGTAAAGAAAGAAAGTCGGTGAAATGAAGTGTAAAATCAACTAGTGTTCTATGTTGTAATCCAAAAAAGGAAACAAAGTGGCTGTAAAGGTGGTTGCAATCATTTTTATATGATGCAAAGATGGTAGCAACCATCATCAAAAGTTGCAGCCAGTATCCTTAAAACCAACCAGCACATCTAGGATGTGGATTAATGCAAAAGGGTCATCAATATCAATTGGCAGAGATTCTGTACATTTTGCAATTCAATACACTATTTTATTTTAGTACTCGCACTCCCTCCCACCAATCAAATTTTGAATAATAACAAATCTAATACAAAAATTAAAAAATGGAATATATAGAACAATATATACTGTTTCATTGTTTAATATGGAGGCACAGATGTACAGAAAACAGAACCTGTATAGACTCCAGCTATATAGTATTAAAAATTCTGTATAGAATGGAGTTAATCATAAAACATGAATTTCATTAAACAAAATATGCTAAGCAAAATGATTGAATTATTTAATTAGAAAGTTACACATAAATAAAGTAAAGATGCACATGGCCATCTTTGAGAGCCAGTTCTTCTACATCTTTCAAAGGTAGTAGATTGGAAAGCCTTAGTACATAACAAACTACCAGACTAGTACTAGAAATATAGATCTGATTTGTATGGACAAATTATAAATTGTCCTAGGCGCAATTTGGCACTTGAAGATTGTGATCATTTAAAAGATGCAGTTAGGGTGATTAATAATATTTGAATTTATTCAATCTTTATAAAATGATAACAATGATAATGACAACAATAATGTAACATGGATTCTTATTTCAACAATCTTAGATCTTTTATACTCTATGAAAAATTCCACGGGTTTGATTTTGAGAAATATAGTAAATGTATCAATAATTCAAAATCCAAGAAATAAACTTTTTTGATACAATTTGGAAGCCCAGGCATGAGGAAATTATTGAATGAACATTTAATTGGGATATCCAATAGAAAAAATTGTACTATAAACATTCTCAAACTACTTCTTTCTAGTTCATGATGCTAAGTGAGAAAAGTTTTGCCTGTAACATGCTATCTTCTGTGCTTATTTAGATGGATTTATTTAAATATTATCTTTACCAAAGGGTCTTTAAATTAACTATATGTTAATTGGTGCACAGAGGCCTCACTTAGCATAAAAAAACCACCGCTGAAGTTTTTTGTTGAAATGCAGATGTCTTCCCAAAAAGATAATATTTGCATTTCAAATTAAAAATCTATAATTGAATTATCCCACAAAAAATATCCGCAATCGCCAAATCGATTTCTAAATAAGGATAACATGTACCCAACCCACCAATAAAAATTGGATATTCTGAGGTTTCACGAAATTTGCGGATATTTTTTGTGGATAGCTACACGACTACATTAAAATTTTTAATGTACCACATAAAATTATTCCGAATAAAGACATATAAAGACTTTTATTTACAAAATATTTAATATATAAAACTAATCGGATAAATAAGTGAATGACTTATTATAAAATGATATGTATAAGTATATTAATATACTAATGTAGTAATAACAATAAATAAATGAATTACCTGGACAAAGGTTTAATGTTGTCGAAATTACATTACATTCAAAAAAAATTTTTTTTTTGACATTTTCAACAAATTTAATATACAAGACTTTTTTTAGATATGGAAAACGATGTTATCAGTTAGGAAAATGATGATGACATAGATAATAGGAATAAAAGAAGACTTAACAAAAAAAAAACAAAAAAAATATAAATACAAAAAAAACCTCAAAAAAATAAGGATCAATAAGCAATATTATGTTACAAATATAAATCATTCTATAGAAAGACGGATCAATTTAGGATGGAAGTTCGATAAAGCGGTAGCTCAACACAAATGATTTTGTTTACTAGTATTGTCCTAATGGTACCACGGGTGATATGAAATATAAAAAGAAATCATAATGTATAGAATCATAATATTTATCTGTTTTTTTCTATATGTTCTTATAATTTCCTTTCAATACGGGTCATAAGAAAAATAAATAAACGGATTATGTAAAATCCGTTATTAATATTAATATTAGTATTATTATTATAATTAGTAATTTTGGCATAATAAATAACGGGTTTTGATTAACTATTTCAGGCTATTCATTAGTATTAGATTTAATTTGAGAAAAACAAACTTCAAGATTTGCAACATACATTTTAGCATATAACATGTCAAAAATTAAAAAGCATTACCCATATAAAACATGTAACTTCATATGTAACTATTAAAAAAATAACATTTAGATTTTTAATATATTATCCAATGTATTTTTATCTAAAGAATCGTATAATTGTTGGCGATACTTTCAGGGCTGGTTGCGCAAAAGGGTTAAAGTCCTAATTTGGTAAATAATTGACTTGACTAAACTTAACATAATGACTAAATAGTTTAGTCAGTTTAGCCAAATACTCGTTTAGGTTACGCGGCTAGCCCCCGACAGAAACGGTCATGTTTGGCAAGGCTAGGTCTTGTGTTTTAATGGACTGTGAATGCAAAGGCATTACGAAGTAGTGTTTGTTCCCTAGAAACTATCTTTCCTTTGATTTCAAAATAACTCGTTTCTTTTTGGACCACTACTAAAACCTTTATATTTTCATTGTCAATAATTTTGGCCACTACTCCCACTGTCCCCGTTACAAATCTTCTCTTCGAATAGTTGGTTCAGGAATATGATTCCAACACCTTCTTGAAGATAAACTCCTTGGGCAAATTTGTGAATTGTCTGATGTAATTATTTTCACTTAATATTAAGATTCTATCATGACATGATGACAACCAATTGCAGATTTTCTTGTCCTTATTGATTAATTATTCAGCTACTCAGTAATTCAAATTCAACATTCAATTATTGAATTATTGAGTACACTTTTTCTTTATGTGGAATAGAAAAATCCTTGATTTTATTTTTTATTTTACATAACGGTCATTCCTAAAATATACTTTTTGTAATAATAATTCAATTCTGTTATTGATAAACGAATGTTTGTAAATAAAGAACAAAAATTTTAGAGTCATTGAAAATTCATAATCTACTAAGATAAATGAACATTCACCTTGTTTTTTTTGATCTCATGCTTTTCAAAAGTTATGTTTTAATAAATTAATAAAAAAAATTGTGTTTTCTTCTCCGAGAAACTTTTAATTTTCATTTTTTTATCACCAATTTAATCCCGCCTAATGTTAATAATAGGCAGTAATAAAAATCATAATCATGATCATAATTACTGCAAAATCTAAATTTATTAAACATGATTTTGTTTCGGAAGCATGGAATAAAAACAAGGTGTACCTTACAAAAAAGTAAATTTTTTTTCGGGCGTATTGACCGTGAATTATTCATATTTTTTAATAGACAACACTAGTGATTGGTAAAATTGCCAATTATATGGTAATTACCTAAAGCACGCTTTTTGAGACCATGAAAGAAAGACAATATTAAGTTCAGCATAAAGAATGCAGGTTTTAAAAAAACAAGAAACAAAAAGGAAACTTGATGCAATTAAACCTCGATAAGCCGAAATTTTGGGAATAACAAAAATGGGCCGGCTTATCAAAATATAATTATGTTTTTGGTTAACCACTTTTGTATCGTTATAAAGCGAAAATCGGTTTATAGTGGTTCGGCTTATCGAGGTTTGACTGTATAGGCATAACCAAAACATTCAAATTCTTATACAATATCAATAATAAAAAATCTTAATAAAATATGAAAATTTTCATAATAAACAATGCTGGAGAAGACTTTGGTGGCATGACTATATCAAAAAGCAACAAAAAGCTTGGAACGCGGATTGTAACCAATCAAATTCATAGATAGTTTAAGATCATCCACTAATAAATATCATGCATGCAAACATAAAATCATTTATTAGTGATAAAATTTTCCCTCAAGGATTTTGATAATAATGATAATAATAAAAAGAAGTAAAAGATAATGACTGACATATTTATGTTAAATATAAAAAATTACTTTAGGCGAAAATCTATTGTTTAAAAGTTTTTCGTAATAAAAACCATATTCTTATATGCTTAGTATAAAATTAAATTTCTCCGTTTTTTAATGTTTTAATTTTTTATGTGTCCAATATAAAAGTTATAATAATAAAATTTTTTTTGGTGAACTTGGATGCAGTGCAATGTGTGTCAATTGAGTAGACTTTTGTCAATTTTACCATTTTGATTATCTCTGCAATTTTATAATAGATTTCGGCGAAACGCGAATTGATATTGTCAACCTCCAAATAAATCTTTTATCGTAATAAAATTACACCATAATAATGATAAAAATATATAAATAAATATGTAGAATATAAATAAAACTTTATGAATTATTTTTTTCTTTCAATCTATGAATTGATAGCATCAATTGTATTGTTGCGTTTGGTGCTGTTGTGCGTGAAAATGAAATTTATGTGATCACACACGTGAAATTCAATTAGCCAATCAGAATTTCATATCCAAACACCAAAATTTTTAATTATAGATTTCAATTTCACATAATTTCAATTTCACATACAACAGTGCTTGGTTGTGACCAATTTTGAAATCAGATTTTAAACAAATTTCTTTTTAGACTTATTTCTACAATTCTCCTATAACAATACATTACAGATCTGAATTTTTCAAAAAGAGACTTTCTGCTTTTCACTTGGATCATCATTTGTAGATACTTCTAACACTAAAAATACTAAAAATAGCAGTAAAATAAATAAGTAAATAAAACAATATATATACAATGATTTATAATTCTTCGATTATCTTTTTTGTGTATTTAACAATTTCTCCTTGAGTTAATTTAATTGATTCAACTCAAATATTGATATATTGATATATTGGTAAATTCCTTTTTTTATATCCATATTTTTCACAAGGCTATTATTCTCGACTTCAACTGTAGCTGTCGTATGTATTGTACAGCTTTAAGGAATTATATCAGACCAAAATAAATATAGTATTTCATCATGTACTTTTTAAAGCATGAAGACTAGTTGGTTAACTGTATCATATTTTATCACCATTATATTCATATTAAAATGGGAAAATTTATTGCGCGGTTTCCCAAAATTAAACATAATAAATCATCACTGATTTTATATGTAACTGCATTAATTAATCAATGATCAGACCAAAATAAATATAGTATTTCATCATGTACTTTTTAAAGCATGAAGACTAGTTGGTTAACTGTATCATATTTTATCACCATTATATTCATATTAAAATGGGAAAATTTATTGCGCGGTTTCCCAAAATTAAACATAATAAATCATCACTGATTTTATATGTAACTGCATTAATTAATCAATGTTGTTACTTCTTTATCATAATCAAAATTTTCATATTTATTCCTTCCTTCTTCACTCAAATTTTGTATATCAAGTTCATTAGAAAAATAATCATCATTAGACTGTTCAAATTTGATTATTTGTTTAGCATCTTTTTTTGAAAATTATATGGGGAAGCAATTTAAACAAACAAAATAAATAAATACCAATGAAAAGCCTCCAGTTACCGAAATGAAAGTTGCTGCATACAAAAATTACGTGTTTTATGAAAAAGAAAAAAATGGTTTGTTACACGGTAAATCACGTGTTTTATAATCCTTGAAATTTTAAAAATCTAGGGAAAGGGGGATTGTTAAACAAATAATCAAATTAAAAAAATCTTTTATTTTTTTTCTAAATGAATGTTAGTTTCCTTTGGTTGAAAAAATTATTGGTTTAGAGACCCCTATTTTATTGATTCTAATTTTATTCCACATTTTCAGACTTAAATTTTTTAGATCTTGTATAATTTTTAACTGCATTGATTCAATGTGAATAACATCAAGCAATTACCATTTTTTCAGGATTAATTTGTTCATTATCAATTAAATTTTTTAGTATTCTTTCGTTGTACTGTTTATTGTTTCATTATTATATGCTGCTAAACAAGTAACCAAAATATTTTTTCTACAATCACAATTAACTTAATAAGGTACCACCTTAGAATTATATATTTCAAATTCATCATCTCTCAGTTTATTTACCATATGCACTGATTTTGATTGGTCCCCAAAATTCAATATGGTACGATCATAACGTTATGAATACTTTACATTAGCAAAAACCCATTGGTTTGACAGGCTGTTGAATAGTGAAATAGTTTTTTTAGCAGAGCAAATAAATTTTTTTAGGGTTAATTATCATTCTACTGACCAGTTTACACATTAAAAATACTCATGTTTAACATTGAGACACAATAAGACATAAGGTTTGAAAAAGGCCCAAAAAACCAAATTGGCTGATATGCATATCTTGTCAAATTACTTTGCTGTTACTGTTAGGTCATTGGTGGTTGTATTGTATTGGTTATGAATTAATTCCTCTTCTTTAATGAATTTACCAAATTTTTTTTAATATAATCATTATGTTCTGTTTGATTTACTTTCATAATTGTTACATGCATTTTTTAAACAAATTACATTCATCTGATGCATTTGATTTGATTTGATGGTTTTAAAAGTGTTTACTGAAAGAATATTACCAATGAATCTTATTTCAGCATCAATAGTATCAAGAAAGTATTTTTCACTTGGTTCAATCTGTAAAATTAAAAATATGATTATTGTTTTTGTTTCAATATTTGGAAAGTATTAATTATTAAATATAATTACCTTTCTTTTAGAAACATGGTACAAAATGATAATAGCAAGTCTAAGTTGCACAAATTAGCTTTCATTTCCATACAAAATAATAGAAGTTGAATGGAATAACAATTTCCATCTGCTGTAGAAATTCCACAGATTAGTTGTTTATATACTTTGTGTAACAAGAAGCCAGTGTTGTGCCATTTATGGTTCCAATAAAATTTCATTGGAGCATTCTAATAAATTTCAATTGGAATTGGAACATTCCAAATGTGATTCCAATGAAGTTAACCAATGAAATTCAATTACAGCGTCATACACATGAATTTTATTGGTTGATATCAATTGAAGATCTACATTGGAACATTCCAACAGCGTTACAATGTTCCAATTGCACAACACTGCAAGAAGCAATGACCACCATTGATTTTAATATTAGAAGGTAGACATTTATGAATTGTGAATTCAAAAGAATTTTATCAGAATAAATTTTTGTATAATTATCATCTTCTAATTCAATTAAAGCTTCTAAAAAGGATTTAATTCTGTTTAAGATAGAAAATTCTTGTTTTGAATTGTGTTATATAATTGATCTTTTTTATTTATCAAAAATTTGTTTTGAGATAAATTTTAATTGAGAAAAAGTTAATTGAAGTTTTTTGAAAGCAAAAAATTAGTCTTTATTTATAATCTCAAAGTCTTTTATTTTTACATTCATTTTATTAATTGTCTTTAACAAGGCTAAGCATTTTTATCAAACTAAATAACTTAAACAACAATATTTTTTATCTCTAGATTTAAACCTTTCCATTTTTCTATTTTTGTCAATTAATGGTGCTTAGGACTCGTGCCAGTGTCTATCCATCCCTTAGTTGCATAATAATCAAATCTTTTTTCCTCAAAATTTGGAGTAAAATCTGAATGAATATCATTTCGAATAAATGACAATCTTTTTGCTTTGATTTCATTTCCGTTTTTTCATAGGCATGGTATGATTTAAAATGTACGATTGTAAAAATTTCAAATAAAATTCTGCTAACTGTCAATTATACCATATTAATATATCCTGTCATTGTTAATAGTAAATTTCGAAGAAAAATAACTTTACGCTAACTCTAATATTAAAAAAATACGGCTGGATTCAAAAATATTTTTTCATTAATATTAAAAAAAATATCAAAAATATGGGAAAATTTTAAAAAGATGTTGTTTTCTGTCTTGTACTAACCAATTTTGTTCTTTATATTACGAAAGAAAATTTGCCCTCCTACGAAAAACATATAGAGACACCAAAATATACGGAAAAGCGGGACGTTTTCCGTATGTTTAAACGAATATGCTCCGAATTTACAGAAAACACACGGAAAACAGAAATTTCGTGTGTTTTTTATATTAGTATTTGTATTTACACGTATGTCTTTCGTACATTCCGTAATGAGGATATCAATTCTTACCGAATTTGTAAAACAAAAATGCCAGATATATTATTGGATGCATTAAATCGTGACATCAACGTCTTTCGCAATATAAGACAAATTCTTTGCGGTTAAAAAACTGGTGCACTGGTTCCGCCACAATTCATAAAATAAGTACTAAATTTCTGCTTGACTATTATTATGGTACAAGTCAACTAGTCCCACGATTTACTGCACCACAACGACGATTTTGGAGAAAAATTTTCAATCAAAAATGCAAAATGAAATTATAACTTTGTAGAGAAAGGTCTTAGCTTCAAAACTACTTTTTTGGTGTTACATTTTCATTATTGGAGCACTAAAGGACCTACAAGGCCAGTCAAAAGTTGCATAATAATAAAAATTTTTAATTGGAAATACTTCTTATCCAAAATTTTCGTTGTGTAACTAGTACAAATTTAGAAACTATATATATTAAAAATTTGATTGGCGTGTAATGTAATGTTACATCACACTGACATAAAAAAGCGGGATGCAACCAAGTAAATTTCATTAAATATAACTATATATAGCACCTTGCTTTTTATTGATTTAAATTAATTCTTTTTTTAAATAATAAAATAAAACAATATAAAGAAAGCTTAAAAATAGTTACACGCAAATTAACTACCACTAATAAGAAAGATTCGCGATCCTTTAAACCGATATTTTCTGCATAGACATAATAAATCTTTCTTTCGTAACAATTTTTTCCTCGTATAAGAAACTTTTGATTTCTAATCAACAAATCTTAAAGCCAAGATCATTCGCTAGCTATGGATACTTTTTGAGTGATCTACCTACATTCTTGAAAATCAAATATGGAGGCGTTTGGATGTGAAATTCTTTTTAATTGTAAATTCAAATTCACGTCGACTATATTATTCACATAAAACAGGATCTTTGCCCGTTGTAATTATTTCTACCAATCAAGTTTTTTAAATTTTGTATATAAAATAAATGTAATAAATGAAGAAAAAAAGTAATTTTATTTCATGTTGTTATATCGATGATTGATTACTTTTATGCATTTTGTAGCTTCATTATTAATGTTCGTATTCTTCATCTGAGGATGAGGATAAATCATTTATTTCAGAACGTTTGCAAATAATATAATTTTTCTTTATTATCATTATCATTATAAGTTGCACAAATTAAAAATTTAACGCCCGATGCAATTTTTTATTTATCAAATATTAATGCAGTCAGATTTAATTTGCGATAAACATACAGTGTAGTATGTCCATTAGAATCCATTTAAAAGTTCATCAATTACTCTATTAAATAAAATAAAAATGGACATGAAATACTATTGTCAGTTTTTTGTAAAGTTAATAATCCACATTTTTTTTTAAAACTTCACTTAATAATGGTTCTAACATAAAAGCATACATAATAATCATACAAAAAAATCACAGCTTAAGTTCTGAAAATTATTCATATAAAATCACATGATTCCATATTTTCCGGAACTTTATCAATTAAAAATAAAAGAAATTTTAATGTGATCATTGTTCTAAAGCCTATATAATAATAATTCAAAATTTTTACACATGATAATCCAAGTTCTTTTAATTCTCTGGTATAATTTTCATTTAGATGATTTTGGATACTTTATATTAAAAGCAACATTTCCATTTTTTTTTTTCGTGCCACAGAATCTATAAAGTCTGTAAAATATTTTCATATTAATATGCCTGAAAGGTTATAAAAGTATATAGTACTGTATTTCAAAAATAAATATCTTGAAAATTTACGTTTAAGTCACGTGGTAAGGTTCGATTGAATAGCAAAAGGAAAATTTCATTTAAATATAAATTAAATATCGAACACCCAGTTTGGAAGTTTTAATCAGAAATCTTCGAAAATGGTTTTTATTATTCAATTTTGGTTGTAGCTCCTCTTCTCAAAAAAAAGAAAATAAATTATTTTTAAAAAAATGTTTTTGGATTTTTAGCAAAGAGTCATATGATATATTCAAAATTTACTCACGATGATGATGACTTCATTAAGTTAATTATAGTTTGAATACTCATTCGATATATGTATAACAACTTGATATTATTAATCTACTACTATGTGCTGCGTATAATATAACACGACATCTTAAAATAATTTTATGCATTTGTAATCGTGTAATCGTATATCCGCAATACTTTTTAACAAAGATATCTGTTATTTAAATGTCCGGTAACAAATTTTTTTGTAATTATTTTTATCAAATTTCTTGCTTGACTTTTACTATTGTAATATTATTGTAATCATTATCCGTTTAAATCAATCAAGATTGATTCTAATAATAAATTCCCAAATATGTCCAATAATAAAGTAAATAATATGTGGTAGTGCGCGACATAATAATAATAAAATTAATGACATTAATATTTTGATCATCGGATTGATATTATACATCATACCAAGCAAATATGCTTAACAGCGCGTCTCATTATTAATTCATAATTTCCAATATTATTGTTATTGGCGTTCTCAGACGATATTTTTAGAAATTTCAATAATCATAAATGAAGGAATCAGAAAGCTTTCATTAAATGGAAAAATTTTTTTTTTTATATTTTCGTAATGTAAAAAAAATTTTTTTAAACAAGTTTTAGAATGATTTGTTTCCCGATTTTAACTCACATATAAACACCGCCCCAAACAAGGAGTCGAGAGCTTACAATAGAATTCTTAGATTGGACAATAAAAAAGCTTGAAAACGTTGATTAAATTTAACAAATTTAACGAATTATGGAACGCAATAAAGATTAGCATTCATTGACTTCAAAAGTAAGCCATTTAAAAACGAAATTGATGAATGACAAGGATGAAAAAGAATGAACGGAAAAAGTACAAATACGCAATGGACCTATTAATTAGATCGTTATTTTAATTAATTCGGATGTTTCAAGAATTTACGTGTATTCGGTGTCTTTTAAATATTATTTTAGCCGTCGTAAACTAAAATTAAAATTTGCAAATCGTAACTATAACGTTAAATGGATTATGTTACATCAGAAAATTCATTGGTGTTTGCAGCAAAGTTTTTTGAAGGAATAATTCATAGAAAAAGAGGTTGTTGGCTGGTTGTTTTCTCTTTGTCTCATAGTAAAATGATATTTCAAATTTGAAGGATAAAATAGTAATCATTCTAATAATCTCTCATGGAATTCTCAAAATGATTTATAAATAAATTTGATTTTTTATCTTGAAAAAAGAAAAGAAAACAGATGGAATGGACGGATTTGGTAATTTTTTTTTACGTTCCTTTAGCTTCATCCATATTTTTTTTTATAAATGACTTTCCAAAATAAATATATCTGTGATTTATAGATGGGCGTCTAAATTGTTTTTGGGGTTGTCTAAAGCCAAAAATAATATTTTAAAAAAAATGTCTGTCTAAATAGTAATGATTTGCTTTAAATACAACTAAAAGTCACGTGTATATACACAAAATCCACAAAGTTCAGTAAATTA